AGGTATGCCAGGAGCTCACACAAGATTTAAAAGAGGTATTTACAGTGGAAACCAGTAGGGACCCCAAGAAATCAGAACAGGGGGCACACCAGCAATTGCTGGGATGAGGTACATATAACAAAGAGGAGGTGAAGAAGCGGCTAATGCAACTTGACACTCAAAGGAGGCGGTGGGACCAGACAACACTCTCCATGGGTCCTAAAGAGGAGCAGAGATATTGTGTGAGCCATTAACAAAGATCTTCAACACTTCATTTGAACACTGGGCAACTCCCTGAGGTATGGAAAATGCAAATGTAGTCCCAATTTATAAAAAGGAGACAGAGACATGAGGGCACTAAACTACAGACACTGTATCTCTAACGAGAGTATGCAAGGTCAGGAAAGATCATCAGGAGAGAGGAGGGGCCACCTGGAAAGAAACAAGTTATAATTGACACCAGCACGGTTTTCAGGGACAAATCCTGTGTCCCAAACCTACTAGAGTTTTATGACAAGGTGACAGAAAGTAAACAAGAAGAGAGAAGGGTGGATCGACTCGTATTTTTGGACTGCAAGAAGGCTTTTCGACACAGTTCCTCACAAAGTTACTCTGCAAAAGCTAGAGGACCAGGCACACATAACTAGGAAAGGCACTGCAATGATCAGAAGAATATCTGACAGGGAGGAAACAACGAGTCCATGGTACCGACGAGGTGCAGAGTGGGCGCCTGTGACAAGCGGGTTCCACAGGGGTCAGTCCTAGGACCTGTGCCTGTTTTCTTGGTATACGTGAAACGACATAACGGAAGGGATAGACTCAGAAGTGTCCTTGATAGCAGACGAGGTGAAGTTAATTAGAAGAATCGAATAGACGAGACAGGCAGGACTACAAAGAGATCTGGACAGGCTACAAGCCTGGTCCACAACGCTCCTTGAATTTATAACCCTGCCAAATGCAAAGTCATGAAAGATTGGGGAGGCAAAGAAGACCGCAGACACAATATAGTTTAGATGCCAAAGACTGCAAACCTCACTAAAGGAAAAAGGACTGGGGGTGAGTATAGACACCGAGCATATCTCCTGAGGCGCACATCAATCAGATAACTGCTGTCAGCAAACGGTGAGCCGGGCCAACCTACGGATAGCGTTCCGATACCTCAGTAAGGATTCGTTTAAGACTCTGTACACATCTAAGAAACGTCAGGCCCATAACTGGGAGTATGTGCAGCCACCAGTTTGGAATCCTCAACTATCCAAGCACGTCCGAAATAGAGAACGTGCAAAGGTGTGCAACTAGACTAAGTCCCAGAGCTACGGGATTGTCCCTATAAGAAAGGTAGAGGGGAATCGGCCTGACGACAACTGGAGGCCAGAGGGTTCAGGGAAGACAATGATAACGACATATAAAATACTCCTGGCGCGGAATAGACGAGGTGGACCAAAGACGAATGTTCCAGAGATGGACAGAGACACAAGAGTCACCATAGAAGTTTGAAGGACTCAGATAATCAAAGGATGTTGGGAAGTATTTCTTCAGTCATAGAGTAGTCAGGCCAAGAATACCTAGAAAGTGATGTGGTGAGAGCAGGAACCATCTTAGTTTTAAGGCGAGGTAATGATAGAGCTCAGGGGCAGTGGAGAGAGAGGACCTAACAATCAGCGAAGAGAGGCGGGGGCCCAGGAGCCTGGACTCGACCCCTGCAACCCACAAATAGGTTGATACAAATAGGTGAGTACAACACATCACACACACCCACCCACCCCCACCCACCCACCCACACCCCAACCCACACCCACCCACACAACACCCCCCACACCCCACACCACCCACCCACCCTGCCAAATGCAAAGTCATGAAGATTGGGGAAGGGCAAAGAAGACTGCAGACACAATATAGTCTAGATGGCCAAAGACTGCAAACTCACTCAAGGAAAAAGATCTGGGGGTAAGTATAACACCGAGCAGATCTCCTGAGCACACATCAATCAGATAACTGCTGCAGCATACGGCGTCGGGCAAACTACGGATAGCTACCGATACCTCAGTAAGGAATCATTCAAGACATTCTGTAACCATTTACGTCAGGCCCATAAATAAAACTGAGTATGCAGCTCCATTTGGAACCACACCTGGTCAAGCACGTTAAGAAATTAGAGAAAGTGCAAAAGGTTGCAACAAGACTAGTCCCAAGCAAAGGGGATTGTCCTACGAAAATGGTTGAGGGAAATCGGCCGGACGACACTGGAGACAGGAGGTCAGGAAGACATGATAACGACATATAAAATATTGCGCGGAATAACAAGGGGACAAAGACATGATGTTCCAGAGATGGGAACACAGAAAAAGTCACAATTGGAAGTTGAAGACTCAGATGAATCAAAGGGATGTAGAAAGTATTTCTTTCATCAGTCATAGAGTAGTTCAGGGGTCGTGAATTAGCTAAAATGATGTAAGGAGGCGAACCACACATGGTTTTAAGGCGAGGTAAGAGAAAGCTCATGGAGCCAGGAGAGGAGAGGACCTAGTAGCATTCAGTGAAGAGGTGGGGCCAGGATATACTCCGACCCCTGCAAACCACAAATAGCTGAGTACAAACAGGTGACGTGGCGCGACTGCGCGCGTGCGCACACACACACACACAACATCAAACACACACACACACACACACACACACACACACAATCACACACACACACACACAAACACACACAACACACACACACAACACACACACACAACACACACACACCACACCCACACAACACACACACAAGTCACACACAACACAACACACATCACACACACAATCAACACACAATCACACACACAATCACACACACAATCACACACACCAATTCCCACACACACACACACACACACACACACACACACCGACACACACTCGCACACACACACACACACAACACGACAATAGGAATTAGTCGCAGAGCCAGGAACGAGTAGCACAGAAGAGGGAGGGGCCACGACAGTATGAAAAATGACATAGCATCGAAAATCAAGACTGACCCTAAACTGTTGATAGCCACAACAAGAAGGAAACAAAGTCAAAGACCAAGGTGATCAGAATTACGGACAAAGGGGAGAACTCACAAGCATGACCAGAGGTATGCGAGGATGCTAAACTGAAGATTTTAAGGAAGTTTTTACAGTAAGACCGAAGGCTGTGGAAGTCAGTACAGAAGGGAATATCAAGAGGGAAATACCACCAAGTGGTTGGATGACATACGAACAACGAGGAGGAGTGAAGAACAGCGACCTTGATAACCTCTAAGCGAAATGGACCGGACAACAGCTCCCCCATGGGTCCTTAGAGAAGGAGAAGAGATGCTGGCATGCCTCTAACCACAACTTCAACACATCCCTTGAAACTGGGCAACTACCTAGAAAAGGAAAACAGCAATTGTATTCCCCGTATTTAAGAAAAGGAAAACAGAAACAGGCGCTAACTACAGACCTGTGTCTCGGACATGTATTGTTGCAAAGTTGCATGGAGAAGATTATCAGGAAGGAGAGTAGTGGTTGAACACATGGAACAGAACAAGATTATAAATAAAACCAGCATGTTCATGGAAGGCAAATCTTGTATCACAAACCTCCTGGATTTTATGACAAGGTCCAGAAGTAAGACCACGAAGGAGGGGGTGGGTTTGATTGCGTTTTTTCTACTAGACTGCAGGAAAGGCCTATGACACATTTTCCCCACAAGAGATTAGTGCCGAAGCAGGAGGATCAGCACATGATAACAGGGGGGGCATGCAGTGGATCAGGAATTACCTGACAGGGAGGCAACAATGAGTCATGGTACGTGAAGAGGTTTCACAGTGGGCGCCTGTGACAGCGGGGTCCACTGGGGTCAGTTTTAGATGCCATTGCTATTTGCTACATTGAACGACTGAGGAAGAATAGACTCTGAAGTGTCCCCTATTCGCAGATGATGTGAAGTTGATGAGAAAATTAAATCGATGAGGATGAGCAGACTGCAAAGAGACCTGAAGACTGACATGTGGTCCAGAAACTGCCTTCTTGAATTCAATCCTGCAAATACAAAGTCAAGAAATTGGGGAGGGGCAAAGAAGCCCCGAGACAGAGTATAGCTAGTGACAAAGACTACAGACCTCACTCAGGGAGAAAGAACCTCGGGGTTGACATAACACCGAAAACGTCACCGGAGGCAACGCATCAACCAAATAACTGCTTCACATAGCGGCGCCTGGCAAACCTGAGAATAGCGTTCCGATACCCTAAATAAGGAATCGTTCAGAAGACCTCCGTACACTGTGAATGTAGGCCCATACTGGAGTAAGCAGCACCAGTCAGGGAACCCTCACCTGGTCAGCGCACTTCAAGAAGTTAAGAGAAATTACAAAGGTTTGCAACAAGGCTAAGTCCCAGAGCTCAGGGCATGTCGTAAGAGGAAAGGTTGAGGGGAAATTGACGATGACACTGGAGGACAGAAGGGTCCAGGAGACATGGATAACGACATACAAGAACTGCAGGAAAAAGATAAGGGACAGAGATAGGAGTTTCCAGAGAGAGGACACAGAACAAGGGGATCACAACTGGAACTGAAGACTCAGACGAGTCACAGGGACGTTCGGAAGTATTTCTTCAGTCATAGAGTCGTCAGGAAGTGGAATAGCCTAGCAAGTGAAGTAGTGGAGGCAGGAACCATACATAGTTTTAAGAAGAGGTATGATAAAGCTCAGGAAGCAGAGAGAGAGAGAGGACCTAGTAGCAATCAGTGAAGAGGCAGGGCCAGGAGCTGAGTCTCGACCCCTGCAACCACAATTAGGTGAGTACAATTAGGTGAGTACACACACACACATGTACTTGTATCCACAAAGGATGATACTTATCTACAATATAGCAGCAAGGAAGGAGGAGCAGTTATCAGATTCAGGAAGTCCCAAAAATACAATATATTACAAAACGAAGTGATAATATACAATTCATCTACAAAACAGTCATAATATATATCTACAAAAGAGTGATAATAACCTTTATCAGCAACACAAGCTTTAAAAGCCTTTAGCTCATCTTCGCATGCATCTTCAAATTCCACAGCTGTTTGTTTAGCTGCTTCTTCAAGATCTACATCATCATAATCAGATTTCATAAATTCTGCTTGTATCAAGTCCTTTTCATGTCGGCGTTCATGATCACTCTTAAGGGATTTTTCTTCTTCAATAGCAGCAATCATCTAAAATGAAAATTTGTGATAATATAAATTTGCACATGAAATATTTTATTCAAAACAACAAAGAAGTTATAGTGTTAATATGAAGTACTGTTATTCTAGTCATTCTGGTTAGATGGCAAGAGGAAAAAAAAATCTGTATTTTTTTAATACTAGTCACCTTTACATTTACATGGTTATGATAAGGTTTATTAAGGCAGCAGAGTGAACCTAGTAACAACCAGATTTTAACCCCTTGACTGTCGCAACCCCCAATCCTGAGGTGTCTCCTGGTGTAGCAAAATTTCAAAAAAAAAAAAAAAAAAATTACTTTTTCTTATGAAATGATAGAGAATCTTTTCCCGATTGTAATGACACCAAAAAAAAAAAAAAAAAAAATGATGGAAAACTGACGAATTACGGCTCGCTCGTCGCGAAGTTACGACCATGGCGATACTGTATTTACAAATCGCGATTTCCGCCCACTTTGAGGCCCTAATTTTGGCTAATTCCTGTGTTTCAGTCGACCAAACTCCTAGCTATTTCTTGTAGAACTCCCATTATTTTCTATCGATTGAGTACAAGAAACTGCCCATTTACCAATTTCAACTACCCAATAACTGGTCACAAATTGCAATTTGGCCAATTTCACAAAAATTCAAAAATATGACAATTTCAAAATAAGTCCGATGAACAAAGCAGACATACCTGGCTCGTAAAAATAACATTTTCTTGTTCATCAGTCATATCTCCCAGGCCCCTCTGATATTACTCTTGCGTTCTATGTTGAATTTTATTCAAACCAAAAATAGAAAATTTACTATTATGCAGACTACTCCAATACTGTAATTTTTTTTTTTTATTATCACACTGGCCGATTCCGCACCAAGGCAGGTGGCCCGAAAAAGAAAAACTTTCACCCATCATTCACTCCATCACTGTCTTGCCAGAAAGGGTGCATTTAACACTACAGTTTAAAACTGCAACATTAACCACCCCTCCTTCAGAGTGCAGGCACTGGTAACTTCCATCTCCAGGACTCAAGTCCGGCCGGGCGGTATCCCTGAAACCCCTTCATAATGTTACTTTGCTCAACACTCCCAACAGCACGTCAAGTATTAAAAACCATTTGTCCTCCATTCACTCCTATCAACACGCTCCAACAGCATGCCTGCTGGAAGTCCAAGCCCCTCGCACACAAAAAACCTCCTTTACCCCCTCCCTCCAACCTTTCCTAGGCCGAACCCCCTACCCGCCTTCCTTCCACTACAGACTGATTACACTCTTGAAGTCATCTGTTTCGCATCTCCATTCTCTCCTACAGTCCGAACCAACCTCAACCACCCGCTTCCTCAGCCCCTCTGGACAACAGTTTTTTTGGTAATACCCGCACCTCCTCCTTTAACTTCCAAACTACAATCTCTGCAGTAATTCCACACCACACATTGGCCTCAGACATGCATCTTCCACTGCCACCCAGCCTTCCTCCTCGCTGCAACATTCATCACCCATGCATCACACCCATAAAGAGCGTTGGTAAAATCTATACTCTCATACATTCCCCTCTTTGCCTCCAAGGACAAAGTTCTTTGTCTCCACAGACTCCTAAGTGCACCACTCACCTTTTTTCCCTCATCAATTTCTAATGATTCACCTCATCTTTCATAACCCCTCCGCTGACAACTCCACTCCCAAATATCTGATACGTTCAACCTCCTCCAGACTCTCTTCCCCATATCTGTTATTCAATCTTTCATCACCTAATCTTTTTGTTATCCTCATTACCTTACTCTTCCTGTAATTCACCTTTATTTTCCCTTCTTTTTGCACACCCCTAACCAAATTCATTCCACATCTCTGCAACTTCTCTCAGAAGCTCCCAAGACACAGTGTCCATCACATTGAAAGAATGAGTCTAATGTGGTCGTGTGCTCAGTAAAAAAAAAAAATCCTGCAGCACACAGTGCATAATAATACGAAAAAACTTTGTGTTTTTGGTGTAAAACAGCAACTTTGCAGTTATTTTCATATGATATTTTATGTTGATTATAGTTTTCTTGTCTCATTTTTAAATAGAATGTAGACATCTACAGAAAATTTAGATGATTTTGATGTTTCACAATGAAAAGTACCTTGAAATTGAAGCTCAAGCCTAGCAAAGTGTTTGAATTTTTGCCACAGTTCAAAAGTAAAACTTATCATGCCACGAGTCCAATACACGTCAAGTGGTGAGTCCTAATAGACTTTCACCAAGTGCGCTGTATTATTTATACCATTTCTCTACCTAATGAAGTAGCTGCATAAAACAGTAAATCATCCTATATTTTGTGAGAATAAAAATTCACATTGGAAAGCAAAGAAATGTAAGAGGGGCCTGGGGGAAAAGTAAACACCGAGCATATTCCTGAGGCACCTCAATCAGATAACTGCTGCACTTACGGGCGTCTGGCAAACCTACGGATAGCATTCCGATACCTCAGTAAGGAATCATTCAAGACTCTGTATACCATTTACGTCAGGCCCATACTGGAGTATGCAGCACCAGTTTGGAATCCACACCTGGTCAAGCACGTTAAGAAATTAGAGAAAGTGCAAAGGTTTGCAACAAGACTAGTCCCAGAGCTAAGGGGATTGTCCTACGAAGAAAGGTTGAGGGAAATCGGCCTGACGACACTGGAGGACAGGAGGGTCAGGGAAGACATGATAACGACATATAAAATATTGCGCGGAATAGACAAGGTGGACAAAGACAGGATGTTCCAGAGATGGGACACAGAAACAAGAGGTCACAATTGGAAGTTGAAGACTCAGATGAATCAAAGGGATGTTAGAAAGTATTTCTTCAGTCATAGAGTAGTCAGGTCGTGGAATAGCCTAGAAAGTGATGTAGTGGAGGCGGGAACCACACATGGTTTTAAGGCGAGGTATGATAAAGCTCATGGAGCCAGGAGAGAGAGGACCTAGTAGCAATCAGTGAAGAGGTGGGGCCAGGAGCTATGACTCGACCCCTGCAACCACAAATAGCTGAGTACAAACAGGTGAGCGTGCGCACGTGCGCGCGTGCGCACAACACAACACACACACACACACACACACACACACACACACACACACACACACACACACACACACACACACACACACACACACACACACACACACACACACACACACACACACACACACACACACACCCACAATCACACACACAATCACACACAATCACACACACAATCACACACACAATCACACACACAATCACACACACAATCACACAACACAATCACACACACAATCACACACACACACACACACACACACACACACACACACACACACACACGCACACACACACACACACACACGAAAATAGGGAGATTAGTCGCAGAGCCAGGAACGAGTACGCACAGGTAAGGAGGGAGGCCCAGCGACAGTATGAAAATGACATAGCATCGAAAATCAAGACTGACCCGAAACTGTTGTATAGCCACATCAGAAGGAAGACAACAGTCAAAGACCAGGTGATCAGATTAAGGACAGAAGGGGGAGAACTCACAAGAAATGACCAGGAGGTATGCGAGGAGCTAAACAGAAGATTTAAGGAAGTTTTTACAGTAGAGACAGGAAGGGCTGTGGGAAGTCAGTACAGAAGGGAATATCAAGAGGGAATATACCACCAAGTGTTGGATGACATACGAACAACCGAGGAGGAGGTGAAGAAGCTGCGACCTTGATACCTCAAAGGCGATGGGACCGGACAACATCTCCCCATGGGTCCTTAGAGAAGGAGAAGAGATGCTGTGCATGCCTCTAACCACAATCTTCAACACATCCCTTGAAACTGGGCAACTACCTGAGAAATGGAAGACAGCAATTGTAGTCCCCGTATTTAAGAAAGGAAACAGAAACGAGGCGCTAAACTACAGACCTGTGTCTCTGACATGTATTGTGTGCAAAGTCATGGAGAAGATTATCAGGAGGAGAGTGGTTGAACACCTGGAACAGAACAAGATTATAAATGAAAACCAGCATGGGTTCATGGAAGGCAAATCTTGTATCACAAACCTCCTGGAGTTTTATGACAAGGTAACAGAAGTAAGACACGAGAGAGAGGGGTGGGTTGATTGCGTTTTCCTAGACTGCAGGAAGGCCTTTGACACAGTTCCCCACAAGAGATTAGTGCAGAAGCTGGAGGATCAGGCACATGTAACAGGGAGGGCACTGCAGTGGATCAGGGAATACCTGACAGGGAGGCAACAACGAGTCATGGTACGTGAAGAGGTATCACAGTGGGCGCCTGTGACGAGCGGGGTCCCACAGGGGTCAGTTTTAGGGCCAGTGCTATTTTTGATACATGTGAACGACATGATGGAAGGAATAGACTCTGAAGTGTCCCTATTCGCAGATGATGTGAAGTTGATGAGAAGAATTAAATCGGATGAGGATGAGGCAGGACTGCAAAGAGACCTGGACAGACTGGACATGTGGTCCAGAAACTGGCTTCTTGAATTCAATCCTGCCAAATACAAAGTCATGAAGATTGGGGAGGGGCAAAGAAGACCGCAGACAGAGTATAGGCTAGGTGGACAAAGACTACAGACCTCACTCAGGGAGAAAGACCTCGGGGTGACCATAACACCGAGCACGTCACCGGAGGCACGCATCAACCAAATAACTGCTGCAGCATACGGGCGCCTGGCAAACCTGAGAATAGCGTTCCGATACCTAAATAAGGAATCGTTCAAGACACTGTACACTGTGTATGTAGGCCCATACTGGAGTATGCAGCACCAGTCTGGAACCCACACCTGGTCAAGCACATAAAAGAATTAGAAAAATTTAAAAAAGGGTTTTTGCAACAAGGCAACCCCAAGCTCAGGGGAATGTCGAAGGGGAAAGGGTTTTGAGGGAAATTGGACTGTTACACTGGAGGACAAAGGGGCCCGGGGAAACCCTGATAACGACATACAAGTTTACTGCAGGGAAAATAAGGGGGACGGGGAGAAAAGGATTTTCCCCCAGAG